GGGATCAATGGTGGCTGTATACCGTGGCACACCGGGGCCGCGACCATCTTGCGCGTAATTACAGTAGCTTCCGTCACGGTTTGAGCCCTGGTCATCGTCCCCGTGCATAATACTTTATAATATACGGCGGGATTCCAAAAGTGACTCGTCATGCGGCATAAATACTTTAACGGCGGCAGCGGCGACGGCGACGGCGGCAGCGGCAGCGGCGACGGCGGGAGCAACGGCGCGCACCGTCCTCTCCTCATTCATCGCCGCGTTCTCCACCGTCGCTGCACCTGATACTTTCCCCCGGCGAGCTGATGAATTTCTTTTTTAATCACCGCCCCGTCTCGCGCCCGAAAGTACAACGTCACCTGTTGGCCTTTGCCATCCGCCTTTGCGGCTCTCTCGACGTTGCGATTCGCCACGCGAATTCGCGCGCGCACGTTCGCTCGCAGGAACACGGGCACACGCAAGTGCATAACGAAATGCGTGCGAAATCGTTTTTAGCGAGCGCACGGAAAAGAGAGAGGGAGAGAGACAGAGAGAGAGAGAGAGAGAGAGAGAGAGAGAGAGAGAGAGAGAGAGAGAGAGAGAGAGAGAGGAAGAACGGTAGAAAGGTGAATCGGATTTATCTTTATTCTTCATCTTCATCCGGGTCTTACGTTTTATCGGAGTTACTCACTTCCATGATTCCAACGCGGCATTGTAGTAAACGTAGCTTTTGATACTTAAAATATGAACATCAGAAGGCAGGCAGGTTGAGTGCTGCGAAAATGAATAACGTTCGTGACACACACTCTCTCTCTTTCTCTCTCTCTCTCTCTCTCTCTCTCTCTCTCTCTCTCTCTCTCTCTCTCCCCCCCTCTCTCTCTCTCTCTCTCTCTCACTATCTTTCTTTCTCGCCGTTCTGGTCTATTAAAACTGCATTAGTTCCTGTATTGTTTTGTAAACGAGGTTATCAACGCTAAGACAGTGTGCAAAAAGTCTGTTTACTCGGCAAGCGAGTAATTATCACGGCGCACGCTTCATTAATCTTTTTTCGAACACATTGATGGGCGGAAAATTTAATGCCGGTCGCGCCGGGAGTATAGAGAGGAGAGACCGACATAATTCGATCGTAAATTATTCTACAAACTGGCTCCCTAGCGGATCCGCGCTTAATCCCTCATTGGTGTTTATAGAAATATTTAAAAGATATTACGGAGATGTGTAAATTCATAGGTAATGGCTCCGCGGCCGGTTGGAATTATCGGTGCACATACCGGTTTAATGGATTGGATTTCATTGAGGAGGGGAAATCAAACAGTGCTGCAGCTAAGTGGCACAAAAATAATATTCCGCTAATTTACGGTAAAAGGGAATGAAAGAGAGAGAGAGAGAGAGAGAGAGAGAGAGAGAGAGAGAGAGAGAGAGAGAGAGAAGGAGAGAAGGAGAGGGAGCGGCAAAGAGCACGTTGTATTTCACCTTTTACGGAAATATCGTTTCGCTTACTGTCGCGTGACTCGCGCTTCGTTGTTTCACTCGGCTCATAAATCAACGTGCGTTGAACACGAAGTATTTTGACTCCATGCAAACGTTCAAACGCGAACGGATCGCATTAACGCGAGCAATTTCGCTGTATCGTTGCGGGGGGCGGTAGCCAAGGGGCGGCTCGGAAAGGGGCGGGAAGGGGGTATTGAAAGCTTTCAATTTGTCGTCCATCGGAACGCAATTAGCGCGGACTGCGGCGCTACAACGGCGCGGCGACGAAATCCGAGAACACGCGGAGCTTTAATACCCCTTTTATGCACGCCGAAAAATTGACACCCGAGTCTCCGCGCTTTAATGCCACGACATTAAGACGATCTCAATGGGAACGATCGCCATGGAATACCATGTGGGACGGAACGGTACGAGAAGGGGGGTAGGGAAGTAGGAGAGGGGGGGGGAAGGACGAGACGGGCACCGGCATATAATAACTCGTGCCGTCTCGTGCGGGTATCTCGTGAAAGGACGAAGATAAAGGCCGGCGGTCCAGGAACATAATTAAAACGCGTCGGGTATCTCGCGTGTGGAGGCGAAAATGCGTGTGGGACAAGAGAGGAGAAAGGCGAGGGGCCATGTGGGTGAAAGAACGTGGTGGAGAAAAGAAAGAGAGGGAGCGCTGAGAGGTGGACAAATTGAACTCGTATTATCGCCGTCAACAACGCGGATGCTGAGAGGGGAGAGAGAGGGGAGGGAGGGAGGGAGAGGGAGAGAGAGAGAGAAGAGAGAGAGAGAGAGAGAGAGAGAGAGGGAACGAGATATTTTTGATATTGCAAAGAAGCGCAACGTTCGTCATACGCGCGAAAAATTGCGCGGATCGAAGTCTCGGGGACAAGCGGTATGGGGAACGAATCGGATAACGGGTCGCGAGAGATAAGTGAGCAAAAAGATGAAAAACGCGCGAGCGATAAAAAGGAATTACACATTTGCCACGTGTGTGATGATGTCGGATCTTGAATTACCGCTGGGAGAGGGAAGAGACCGTGGGGGGATACAGCCCGCACTTTTGTCTCTCGCACTCGTCGCGGACGTGTAACGCGCGAGTGCGTAAAATCAAAATCGAACGCTGCGCGGCGACTGTTCACGGTCGCTTATTTCATTATTCACGAGTATAATTCAGCGGCGATCGAGTCCCGATTGCGTTGTCAAGAACACGATGATGCTATTTCATCCGATTAACATCGGCGTACTTTTTAAGCTCCCCCCTCCCCCCCCCCTCTCTCTCTCTCTCACTCTCTCTCTCTCTCTGTCCGTCCATCTCGCTCTCCGCAGTCGCGTACGGCACCGCGTATGATCGAAGATTATTTTAACGCGTCCGTCGGCGAACTCGCCTCTCCGCGTCGTATTAATTTATCCGAGTACGCCATTAGGCGCAATGAAAAGGGAGCTTGCATGAATATTCACCGCGGAATTATAAAATGCAAGAGGCATTAAGACAAAGGGGGAGAGAGAGAGAGAAAAAGGAGGGGGGAAATGGAATTAAATAACCACCCAGGTACGAGAAGCATATTTCGGAACAAGCGCGATAACGCTCACGAAGCACGCCATTAATTCTCCGACTAAGCGAGATCTGTTGATCCTTATTTCGCGCGACACGTAAATATGCGTTTTCGTCGCGCGTTTAGTGCTGACAAACTCGGCCCGATACAATGACGAAAACGCCACGAAGACCTTGCCGGTTTTCTCGAATAGAAGCGAACGAGTCGAAGGAACTGTCCTCGCGCACATCTCGCGAATGCGATCCTGATTCTCATTTCCGAATGCGGTTCGTCCGTGGAGTCGTTGCGCGCTCGTCGCGATCGAGCTTTTTCCCGCGATCTTGAGACAGAGAGAAAGAGAAAGAAAGGGGGAAAGATAGAATGAGAAGAGAGAAGAGAGGAAGGGAAAGAGAGAAAAGACGAACGATTCGACGTTCCTCCGACTCTCAAGGAGAGGCGTTACCGTGGTAACAGTACGGGTCTGAGACTCGAGACTCGATTAGCAAAGAAAATACGAGAGGATCTCGGAAGCCCCGCTGCACGGGATCGATCTGCGGCCGAGAGGCTTTTAAGACGACCGCGAGACCGCCTCTCATTGTCTTTGCCGGGGCGACGGAGACGATTCTCGCGCGGCAGCGCGCGCGCCTCCCTCGCGCTTGTATTTCCAAGCGAGAGCGCTTTTTCCTAGCCAGCCGTCGATCCCGAACGTCGCCGTGTGTCGCCGATGCACGCGGTCAACAGGATCGTTCGTCCTGTCGAATGAGCGAAGACTGAAGGGGTCCCCCCAAGGGTGCGTCCCAGGGACGTTCGCTACTGCGTCGCTACCTCGCTCGTTATTTCGTAAACGTTCACCGCCCGCGCGTTGCCGCCGCGATCGATCAGCCGCGGAGAATGCAGGGGGTAGGATCTCCGCGATTCCCAAGATCGCAATCGCGAATTCCGCCGCGTTAACGAGTTAATTCTGATCCCGTAGGGGAGTATCGCGCGACGAAATCTGTATCCTTTTTAATTGCCGCCTCGAGGATACGCTGCGGCGGTGGCAGGCGAAGGCGAGGGCGACACAGAACGCTGGCGTAATGGGCGATGGATCGGCATAATATTTTCCCGCCGCCGCGGCCGCGGCCGGCCGCGCCGACGATGACGGCGAGCACGCCGCGGAACACAGGGTTACGTTACACACACGGCCATCCGTCATTCGGGGCGTGTGTGAAGTTTAGCGTGTTTTTCCATATCTGTCCGTGATCTACCGAGTAATGAGGTGAATCTCTCCCTCTCTCCCTCCTCCATGCGAGAGCCTTCGTCGGGGAATCGTCGTTACTCTCCCGTGAATCCTCGCGCCTCCACCTGGGAAGGATGAGCGCGCGCTCATTAATTACAACGAGACGCTCTATTCGCGGCGTGATGACTGGAAACAAAGTGTTTTCAACGCCGGCTTTTCACATCCACGTGTGTGCGCACGTATACACGTGTGTATGCATGTGCCACCTATATGCGACGAACAAATTAAAATTCCCACCGCGGCCAAGCACACCTACGCGCGCGTCCTCCTCTTGCCGGTGGCTCCGGCCGCTGCCGAGGAGATGATCACAGTCTGGAGTTCAAGTAGCCGACGACCTCCTTCGTTGACCTCCGCGTCCCGTAAAGAGGCGACGGGGTTGCTTAAAGTTAAAGATGGAAGAGTCTCTTTGATCCTACGCACGTGCAAGTAGGATGAGCTCGCGCGATACGAACGGGGAACCTTCAGCGGATTCTCAAGGAATCGTTAACGATCGTCGTGAATGACGGCGATTTTTTCGTGTTGAACGGCAAAAGAGTAACCCGAGAGCAACGTATCGTCAATCCCAGATCCCACGTCTGTTCTTCGCGCTAGACTTCGTGTTGCGCTCACTCGCGTGTGCGTGTGCGTTCCCCTCTCGTTTGTGAAAACGTCGATTAATTCCCGACGATCTCTTCTTGCAGATAACTCGACAGCATCGACCGTCGTAAAACGTTGCGTACGCTGTTGTTTTTCAGGATGCAACAGCAGTCAGGCCCGGGAAACGGAAACACGCGGCGCACCCTGAGCCCGGGACCCGGCGGCAGCGACTCCGAGGATTCCGACATTTCCCTCGGAGGAGCATCACCAGCGTCACCAAACGCCTCACCGCCACCGAACCACCAACCGTCCCCGGTGCCCCTCGGACCCCTCGGACCCTTGCCAACCCCTTCCTTAAATTTCCGTTTCGATCCTACGCAGCCGCAGTTTCGCTTCGGCCACACGACGCCTTTCAAGTTTCCGCCGACGGGCTTCCGATTCGGGCCGCATAGTCCGCAGCCTAACCACCCGACTATGCCGAGCGGAGGGATTTTCAGGATCGCGGAGACCAGCCCTTTCCAGGCTATAGGGCCCAGGGGTGATGTAGGATCGAGGTATCAGCTGTTATGAGTTAGCAGCTGATTTCTTTGTTACTCAAAATTACTCTCGCGAGACGTCTTGTCGCAACACCGAGCCTTCGCGAGCATTCTCACAGCCCTGTTCATTAAGGGTTCATCAAGACTCGCGATTAAAGCCGTCGATACCGACACACTGCTCTCTCGCGAGTTAACGTCGCGAAAAGACGCCGCGCGCTTGTTGCCAAATCAAGCGGTCTCCGCTAAGTTGTATCTTCTGCTACAACTCAGACTTCTCTCCTTATCGAACGTCTCCTTATCGAACGCCTCTCGCCGGCTGAACCGAGTGTCACAACACACCCCGTGTCGTTCCTTTCGATTACAGATTGCCGGATCCATTGGGACTGCCACCGCCGAGGCTCCACCCGCACGAAGGCCTGCTACACCACCCGCACCCCCAGCTGAGCGATGGGATATCCAGGATATCCGAGACATCGCGGCTGTCCGACGGTGGGCTCTCGCGGCTGTCGGACAGTTTGTCGGAGGCCCACAGCCCGCCATTGCTGGCGGCGAACCTGTCGGTCGCGGGTCCCTTGAGGGTGGCTGTGCCCAGCCCTGGCACCCCCTCCTCCCGGGGCAGCCCGCCCCCCCGGCAGCAGACACCTCAGGGTCAAGCTCAGAGTCAGGGTCTGATAAGGGTCGCCACGCCGCCACCGCCGCCACCGCCGCCGCTGCCGCCGTTGCCGAATCCGAGACCGCAGATTCACAGGCCGTTCTCACCCTCGTGATTCGACGAGAGCGACAGGAGAAGAAGCGCCATCCTTGGGGCAAGCGATGATACCGTGTGACGTCGAGGTAAAACGCCGTCGACGTGCGCTATCGCGACACCGTGGGCGAGCGGGCGAGCGGGCGAGCGAACAGACTTACTCACTTTCTTTCTTTCGTTCGTTCGTTCGTTCGTTCGTTCGTTCGTTCGTTCGTTCGTTCGTTCGTTCGTTCGTTCGGTCGTCGCCGCGCGAGCCGGCTATCTGCTTTGCCAGAGGAGTCTCCGTGAGTCGACGGGGATGACGACGATGGAGAGGAAACGGTCGGTCGACGGAAGTTTCAAGGACGAGCGATATACACGGCGAATCGGTGACAAACCTCGTGGACAACCTCGTCGAGAACCGGCGCGACGGAGGTCGACGCACGGCAGGACGTCGACGGGTGACACGCAGTCATCGCGCGAGGATCGTTCGATGACATTCGCGAACACGCCTTTCTTCGAGACGACCTCATCGCTTCGCTTCGTCGGAGTCTCCGTCGTAGTCTCCATGACGGTCGGAGCGGGGAACGGTGTACCGCCAGCGAAGAGAAATCAACGACGTGGTATCGTTGACGGAACAATTCACCGAGCGCGCAAGGCCAGCTCGAGAATACGCTGAGTGGTGAGAATATGCTGAGTGTCAGCATGCTTTGGGGTGCGCTTGGGGGGAGCTTCTCCTCTCCCCGATGATGTCGAGGCAGCCTGCGCGAGAAGAAAATGCTCCTCGATCGCGGACCGCGCGAGAATGGAGAGGGCCGGGGGGAAGACGGACAGAATAGACTGTTCGAAAAGTGAGTACAAGTCCGTCGGATAAGTGCAATCCTCTCGGGTACGAAGGAGAGAACGAACGGTCACGGGGTGCGATGGGATGATGGTGGTGGTGTGTACATAACTGTTTCTCTCAGGCGTTGCCCGACCCGTCTGACTCGTCGAAGCCTACGAACCACGCGTAGTATATACACAGTGGAATCCCCATAGTTTGTAAATAGCGCCGCTTTTTAGCGCCCTCCCTCTTTCCCCTCCTCTCTTCCTCCTCCTCCTCCTCCTGCCCCCCACCGGTGCTCTCTCTCTCTCTCTCTCTCTCTCTCTCTCTCTCTCTCACTCTCTCTCGCTCTCTTTTTATCGCGAGTCGCATCTCTGTGTGATCGATTAGTTAAGCGGTCGGGCGTGCCAACTGTACCGCTGTGTTTCGCCGACGCGTCGGGGTGTCGTCGAGGAGCGAATGCGGCGGCCCGATCCGGCCCGTAATCGCAGGCGCGAGGCGACGGAGCGCGAAACGCGAAGGGATGTCCGAGGTGGAACTCGCTTGCGGTATCGGTATCGGGAGATCCCCTGTGTCCCTGCGACGGACAGCACGCGCGATTCTCTCCGCCCTTGCGTTCGCTTCCGCCCCTTTTCTCTTCGTCTTTTGATTCTCTTACTCTTCCTTTTGAGCCCCGTTTGAGCCGCGAAACCGCACAACAGCCACGCGTCGCAGCCGGCGGTAAGCGAGAGAACAAACGCGACCGATCGCGCGAAAGAGTCGCGCGCTAACGCTGAAACAGCTGCGGTAAGTAAGACGAGTATTTTATCGTACGGTGTATTCGACGTCGTCATCGTGTGCATCGGTTAATTCGCGCACTTCTCGCGGGCTTGTATCTTTTCTCTTTTCCTTTTTGAGGAGTCGAGTCGAGCGGTGAATTCTGTGATTTCAACCGAGACAGACAAGGACGACGAGGAGAGTCGAGCGTCGGCTCGCTCGAGTCGAAATTTTGGTTGTACATTAATCCCGGAAGTTTCGATTTAAAGGCCCGCGAAATTGATCACCGGAACCCTTTAAATTTGACGAAATTTTAAACGGGACTAGCGTAGATCTTCAAGAAATTTCGACTGGGTGATGAGCTCGCGACGTGACCGTTTATATTATTGCCGAGTTAAGCGCGCGAGAAGAAGGGTATCTCGCGCTTTTCGCCCCTTTCTCTGTAGATAGACACGTTTAGCGAAATTCTTGTATAATCAGTCCGAAGATATAAATATGAAGATAAACAGTACGTATACTATACGTATATATAATATACATATATACATAGTATATATACATATACTATAGGTGAAGACTCGTGTAATTTACATAAAGACTATCAACACACGAAAATTATATATATATAAATATAAATATAAATATAAGAGAGGAGAGAGAAGAAATAGAAAAAAAGAAGAAGAGAGAAATGGAACATTATTATATATATTATTAATATTATTAATATTATTATTAAAATATTATTTGTGCGCCTGTACATACATTCGCGCAAATATATAATAACAGATTATTATGACATTACAACAGACCATCATGAGTATTTTGTTCGCATCCTCGCATCCATTATACGTCCTGCGCCGTCCTGACTGTTAAACGGAGTGGCAAATTTCGCGCGTAATCCACGGAACGTGTTAAACGCATCGACGCATTAAAATGGCTTAACATTTGCACCCGCGCGATTCTGCAACGTGCTGGACACGCGATCTCATGAGCAAAATTGCTATTGCGGGCTCGCGAGCCGCGACGTTATTGTTACATCACAAACGCCCGCTGTTATTTCTAACGGCGAGCGGGCGCGATATTTGCCCGCTTACGCTCGCAATCGAACAGGATAATTATTATTTTCCACGAAAATCTCCCATTACCGATTTCCCTTGTTACGCTCGCGCGTCCTCGCCGATTAAAGCGATTAAACCATATGCGCGGCCACGGCTGAGAGAGAGAGGGAGAGAGAGAGAGAGAGAGAGAGAGAGAGAGAGAGAGAGAGAGAGAGAGAGAGGGAGAGCAAGAGAAGAGAGGGGGAGAGACAGAAAGAGCACGTTGTCGTCCTCTCGTTGAAATCGGCCGTTCTTCCCACAGATTCGCACGTCACACGCTTCCACGGCGCGCCATCGAAAAATTGCGGAGTCACCGGCCGTTAACAATCTTAGAACCGTGTCCCGGACACGATCCTTCTTTTCTCTTTTTTCGCTTTCGTCGAAGGTCAAAAGCGAGCCGGTGTAGGATCGAGGCACGAAAACGCGCGCGCGACTTGGGAACGCGCGACGAAGGCGGGACGGGATTATCGGCGGCTGAGCGACACGGTGAGGGAGAAACAAATGGCTAGATCAGAGGAGTGTGACAGGTAAAAGGGTGACGTGTGTGTGTGTGTGTGTGTGTGCAGGCAGGAGAGAGGCGCGAACAGAGTGCGAAAGGCAACACGGGCTAGACGCAGACGGATCGAGTAGTTGCGCGATAACGCGGCGTGGGCGGGTATCGCTGACAAAATGAACCAATCGGCTGGTCGGGTCGCTCTGTAACCGATCCCGCGGGTTAACCAGGAACCAGGGAACATCGACCAAGACTCCCGAAAGGCCGATATGCCCACAGCGCACGCCTAAGCTCTCTCTTTCTCTCTCTTTCTCGACGAGGTCGACTCCACCCTGCCTGATGCTTCCACATGCGACCGCTTCCTCTCTTTTTCACTCTCTCTCTCTCTCTCTCTCTCTCTCTCTCTCTCTCTCTCTCTCTCTCTCTCTCTCTCTCTCTCGTTCTCTCTCCTCTTTCTTTCTCCTTCCCATCAACGTCTCCCTCCTATTTTCCTTCTCTGTCACACGACGGGTTCCCCCGTTTGCTCTTCCCCTTTCGCCTTCCAAGGTGCTCGGCAGCTGGGTAGGTTTCCAGCCACGAAGATGGAGTCGTTGAGACGCGGGGAATGGAGCAATACTCGCGAACTTTTACGTCGCGCTCTCGACTCGACTCGAGTCGAGCCGAGTCGAGCCGGGACGACTCGAGGCGGCCTTCAGCCGTCGCGGTGATTTCACGAAGAAACTCCCGAGCACGGTCCACGAGTGTGTCTGTCGTCGTCGTCGTCGTCGTCATCATCGTGGGGATTTCTTGTTTCCGCGACTCGCCGAATTCGCGCTCGTGCAAGCTGCATGAGAGAGAAGACGTGCGGATCGCTTCGAGATGAGTCGAGTCGAGTCGAGCGCGTGAGAAAAGTTCAAAATTGCGGCAGTGAGGATACGACGAGACGCGGCGAATGCTCAAAGTTCAGCGCGATCCGCTGTGGATTGAGCTGTCTCGAGCGGAGCTTCTCCAAGAGCGCGCATGACGCGAATGTCTCTCTTTTGAGCAAAAGACTACTGGGTAGTATCTATCGGTTTGTGAAATTAGTGATATGATGAAGTTTGACCAAATGTTGTTGCGATACTCTGGAGAGAGTTTCCGCTTTAGTCGTCTAAAGAACGATATCTGAACCACCATCTGAAAGCAGTGATGATGCTGACAAATATATATTACCTCATATGCTACTACTATATCATATAATGATGTATCCATCCTCTACTTATCTCTCCTTTCTCCTCTCTTCTACCTTCTATAGCGCAGCCATTCATCTTAATACATACAGAATAATATCGGTCGCCGAAAAGCGAATAATCCTTTCACTGTGTGGAAACTCGTCGGAGAGTTACGCGATTGCACGAAGCTTGAATGAACGACCGAATCGAAGGTACTAAGTTGGTTTGGTGAGATAGGAAGCGCAAGACGTACCCTGCTGTGTGCAAAGTCGCGCACTAGGAGAGGAAAAATTTCACGATGGGAAGTAACGAATGAAAACGGCCGCGGGTTTCTCCATGAGCCACGACTTGTGGAGAAACTGATGGTTTACGCCGGTCGATAATATCGGCAACAACTCAACAATAGCACGGAAGAGGGTGAGAGGACGAGAAAGAGCGAGGGTGAGGGAGGAATGTTGAAAAACGTTACGCAACAAGCTCGCGGGACAACTGCACCGCATCGTTCCGCAAAAACACACGCACACATGTGCGCAGTGAATGTGTGCGCGGCACGTACCGTGCACGCGCTGCTCGCCGGAATTTCGTACGGTAGAATAAAGGGATGAGTGTCGCGATTATCGATAGGCTTCGGTGGCGTGCACCGTTTTCAAGGTACATCCAATATGGCGTGAAAAGGTCCGCTCTGTCTTCGTCTACCCTCGCCCTGCCCGCTATCGTTTATCTCCGTCGTTCGCTCGATGGCACGGTCGCCGTCTTGCCGGTCGTGTTTTGACAGTTGCTGCTCTGACACCTCTGGCGCATTCATTAGGAAGTGGTTCTCATTCGGTGCGGGAAGGTAGCGGAACGAGACTCTCTCGTCGAGACGACGAAGAGAGAGAGAGAGAGAGAGAGAGAGAGAGAGAGAGAGAGAGAGAGAGAGAGAGAGAGGGGAGAGCGCTCGGGCGTAAACAATCGCGAAACCGTTTCTTCGTGCAACGTGTGCAAGCTTGAAAATACATCGTGCGCAAGCTCGCGGGAAAATATTCCACGTTTAATATGGCGAACGTAAATTATTCTTCTCGGACACTTGCGGGCGTTCTGGAAGTGGTTGCAAATGATTGCGAGAAATTGTGCAACGTCGCGACATAACAAGCAGAAGTAAAACTACGCAATCACTGTGTTAAAAGTAATAAAAAATTGCACTGCTGAATCGTAAAAATCGTGAAGGATATTTTTTCGTTTCTCTCACTCGTGCTTCGTGTAAAACAACAATCGTGCGATAATGGATGACGTATGAAAATAATTTTCCGAGATAGCAGCCGATGCGAAAGTACGTTGTATATATCGATATACAAATCGAAACGAAGCGTTTAAGGGCCGAGCGGAGAGCCGCTGGCCGGGTTCCACAGCTGTCCGGATTTAGATGTTTAGGATAATGCGGTGTGGCCGGGGACTTACAACGAAATAATGTAGTCCACTCTGAATGGCAGAGACGTGGAATGAGAGCGGCGGCGAGGGGGCAGAGGGCGAGCTAGCGAGCGGCTAGCGAGCGAGCGAGATGCAGGAGTGCGCGACCAAGGGAGCGGAACGGAGAGAAGGGCCAGGCGAAAGAGAGTAGCGACTGAGTAACCATTTCTCTCTCTCTAGTGGTTATTTGTAGACAGATTCGACACTCCGACAATGCAGCGAATATCATAATGGGGCCACGGGTGCACGGGAGGGGCCTCCCGCTACGGCGGGAGACGGCACCCAGCCACCCCGTCGGAGAGATTACGAC